GTGAGCAGGAAGGATAGTCCCATGCACACAGTCATGTGCTTCTCCCCTGCTCCTTTCTCTATGCAGCACGCAGTTCCTGAGAGCCCCGGTGTGCCAGGCTGGTACCTTGGCCACTGGCAGGGCCGAGCAAGAGACATGGCTCTCCCAGAGAGGCAGCTAGAATCAAATGATGGGAACAGCTACATGGGTCACACTCTGAGAAGTGGGCCAGAGGGTGGGATGAGACCAAACAGCAAGTCCAGGGTGCACGCACGTGTGTGCATGCGTGCAAGCGTGTGGGTGTGCGTGTATGCATGCGTCTGCCAGCAGAATCCTATCGTACCTTTCGGGATCTCTCCCCTACACTGTGGAGGGGCCTCTGAGGAGCAGGGTGGTAAGGTGGCCTGGAGGGGCTGCTATAGCTATGGCTGTTCAGGCATGCTCACAGGTAGATTGGTTCCCTGTCTGCCGTCCAGGAGTGGCCAAGCGTCCATGGGGCCACAGTGAGGCTCATGCTGGCACCCCCCCCCGCCCCCCGAGAGAAGCATCCCACTCTATCCTGAAATGCCTTGACATGCGCCCTGTTCCACCCCTGCACCCCCAGGACCGTACGTTCTCTGGAAGCACCAAGGGCCTGCAGAGCGGCTGCAGGTCCACCTGGTCCCAGGATATGGGCTCCTCCTTCCCGCCAGCCTTTGCCTGCCTCTGTAGCTGTAAGCGTGTGCCTGGGTGACTTGGGTGGGGTGCCAGCACCCACAAAAGCCAAGTCCTCAGGGGCTGGCCCCTGCACACCTGTGAGCCCGGATTCTCCCAGTAGGAGAGGGGAAAGCTGGTCTACGTCCTGGCTTCGGTCTGAACCTCTCTCCAGCAGGGACTTCTTTGGCAGGTGGTGAAGCCTGGGGCCCCTTCTGAGCAAATTGATGTGTTAAAGCGTTTAAGATACATGCGATTACAGAGGAAACATTACACGTGTGAGGAGGCTTCAGCACATTGGTAGAAAAATTCTATTCTCTCTTCATGCCACATCCTGTAACAAAGTACAGTTTTCAGCATAAGGAAACACACTCTCAAACCAAGTGCTGCTTTATTACAACCTGTGGACCTCTTCCATCCTGATGTCCAGCATCCCTGCAGGACAGCGCGTCCTCAGGTAGCTGTCGGTCTTCATGCTGCCACAGCGGTCTCCCATGAGCAGCTGGTGGATTCGAACCCCCAACCTTTGGGTTCTCAGCCAAGAACCATCGCACAACCAGGGCTCCTGCTTGTTTATAAGTGTGCTTAGATGGAGACCTGGCAGCAGGCCAGGGACTGCTGCCATCACCAGGTGAGATGTGCACAGGTGGGCCATGGGGAGGCTCACAAACCTGGCCCATGACGTGAAAACGTCCTTGGCCGCCGTGTGGCTGTCACAGGCGCTGCTGTTCTGTGTTCGTGATGGGAGTGGGCAGGGGGTGGTGGGAGGGGGCTGCAATTGGAGGTTTGATGATGAGCCATTTGCCCCAGCCAGGCTCACCGACACCCTGCGTGCCACCAGGGAGCCCTGGCTGCTCATGCCTGCACCTAAGGGCCCCTCCAGCCCTGTCTTTGGCGTCCTGGGCCACACAGCCGTCAGGGCCCAAGTCCTCTCTCCCAACGCACTGTGAGCCTGTGGGAAGGAACTGGCAGGGGAGCAGGCACCGCTGGAAAGCAGCATCACTTCCCGGGGACCCTCTTCCTGTTAGTGATTTGGTGGTCAGACGTAGTCCAGCAGGAGTGGATGCAGTGGAGAGGAGTAAGGAGCTGGCCCAGCACTGGGACGTCTCACCGTCTCAGCCCACCAGGGAGCATGGGCTCTCCCAGCCCACTCCTCCCACCTCCCCTCCAGCCTGCAGCCCTCCGCTCCTACCCCATGCTGGGAAAACATGAGGGTCAGACCCCGCCTGCCCAGCCCAGGATTGCCCTCAGCCCAGGGTCTGGACCCATCACACCCCCACTGGGGCCACCTTTCACTCTGGTGAGCACCACTGCTCCAATCCCCAACCCCTACTACTGCCTCTTCTTTCTGGGGTAGCTGCCTTCTCCCACCCCCAAGGCTGGGTCCGGAGCACTGAGATTTCTTTCTCTGTCCCTCTGGCCAATGGATTCTTTCCTTGCCTGGCTTTCTGGGTCTAGTCTTCCAAACCTCATCCGCTGCCCTTGACCTTGTCTCCCTCTTGCCCGCAGCCCCTTGTGTGGAAATGTGGGCCCGCTGATGACCTTCCAGAAGGGGACTCAGCCCCCCCATTTTCCCGGTAGAATGAATGGGGCCCAGGTCGCCCCACTTGGGCCTGTGGTGCATTTGGGGCAGGGGCCGGAGGAGCCTTTTGGCGTGACAGCAGAGTAAAGAACAAACAACAAAGAGCTGAAAATAGCACCTTTACGTAAGAGCAGGCGCCTCCTTTGTAATGAGCGAGAGACCCAGAAACCTGGAAATTGGGCAGGAGCAGGAAAGTGGGAGGGGACTCTCTGTGAGGTGACCCAGGCCTCCCAGGCAGCAGCTGGGCAGTGTCCTAAGGCCGGAGCTGCCTCCCCCTCCCCCTCTCCAGCAGTAGGAGTCTACCTGCCTCCTGTTCCTCATCCCCTCTTGGCCTGTCTGGACCCTGATTGGGCCACCATGGGCCACAAAGAGGCGTTCCTTGTGGTGGGGGTGGGGTGAGGTGGGGGGTTCTGCAGATGGGGCTGCACTGGCAGTAGGTCTTTGTGGTGGGCTGGCTTTTGTGGGAAGCAGGTTTTTTTTCAGGGTGGGGGTGGGGTGGCCTGGCATATGGATGGATTCAGATTTTGAATGGGGTTCTGCTTCCTGCCCCACCATTGCTATATGACCTTGGGTGGGTGACCTTCCTCTCAGCCTCTGTAAAGTGGGTGAAGGGTCCCACATTTGACAAGATTATAGAGCCACCTGGCCTATGCTGGGCTCTGGCCTCAGTGGGTGCAAAGGGTAGAGGTCGCCCGGGCTGGTAGGGCTGGGGAGTGGCCAGGCTGTGCTGGCCAGCTAGCTCCCACCAGATCCCTGACCTTGATCCTCCGAGCAGAGCTGTTTCTGCTGACGCAAGCCCGGCCTTCTTAGCCTGCTGTCTGCAGCTATTTCCAGGGCATGTGGAGCATGGCTGCAGGACTCCGCGTGCCCAAGCGTCTGGGTTTAGCAGATGGAGACGGGTCTGTGCAGTCTGCCTGTTGCTCTACTTCAGGCCTCCCTCCTCCAGCCCCACCCCCTCCCAGCCTTCTCTCTCTGCTCCAGGCCAGCATTACTGTCAGAGAATGGCAGCGCGGAGGCCCGAGGACAGCAAGATCTGTCTTCTCCGAGGGGGTGGCTCCGGGGACCTTCTGAGTCCCAGTGTCCTGGGGTCAGGGTGCGGCGGCAGGTTCACATGACCCAGACCTGCGTGAGGATTCCAATCTGCCATTGAGTGGTTAGGAGCTCAGGTGGTGTAATGCCTTGGGGGGCTGCTAACCGCAAGGTCGGTAGTCCCAACACACAGCCACTCCATAGAGAGAAATGGAGCTTTCTGCACCTTTAAAGACTTAGTCTTGGGAACCCAGGGGCCTGTTCTCTGTCCCTTCCTTCTGCCAGCCCTGCCACTGACCCAGAGCAAGGCTTTGGGAGCAGCTGCTTTGTGCATGGCTCTCTGCTGGATGGCAGGGATCAAGACCCCTTCATCTTTGCATCCCCACCCAAGCTTCCCCCCAAAGCCTTGGCTGCCCGAGGAACACGTGGTGATTCATGAATTAATGACCCAAGCTCCCTGGTCTCGGTCGCTTTGTGCCCTGTCGCCTGATCCTCACTCCACTTCCCCAGGGCCATCTGCAGGAGGTGGGAGAGGCAGTAGCCAGAGCTCTGATGCTTGTCTGCCCTCTCTGTGCCTCCCTGGGTCAGTGGTTCAAACCCACCCGTGGCTCTGCCAGAGAAAGGTGAGGCTGTCTGCTCCCTGTCAAGATTTACAAAGCCTCGGAAACCCTTCGTAGGGTGGCCATGAGCTGGCATCAACTTGGTGGCAGGAGGTGGTAGAAGGCTGATAATCTCTCGATGTGGCTGTCGGCACACACATCTGTTTATATATGAACACATCGTCTGCAGCTGTGTATTTTTTTCCTTTTCCCTTTAATAATTTTAAACCCTGCAAATCAAGGTTGACTCCCTTTTGTGCAGAGACTGTTCAGGGGCCCCTGTGCCACTGAATGCCCACCTCTCATCCCCACGCCTAGCAGAGGTGGCCATGGTATCTCAGCCGCCTCCCCAGAGCTGCTCTGGGGGGTGCCCCAAGGGTAAGGTGACCAGATTTGAAGCGGGACACCATTGACCGGAGGGGGGGGTGTTCTTGATTAAAAATTTGGTCTATAAGGACCAAATAGACCGTTCCCTAGCTTGTCGTGCATTCTTTCCAAAAATCGGGACTTTTTTAAAGCACCAAAAAATCGGGACTGTCCCGCCAAAAACGGGACGTCTGGTCCCCTTACCCATGGGGGAGTGTGAGGGGACCCTGTACATTAGGCTATTCCCAGGGGCTGAAGGAAGGAAGAGAGGACCAGTTTGGCAAAAATCGTGCCCGTTTAAACCCTAAACCACCCATTTAAAGATTGAAACCATAAAATGAAAACGAGAGCTGTTTCCCCATACTCTCCCATTTCCACCTAGGCATTTCCACACTTCCCCTGGATTCCATCGCTGGTGGTGGGGAGGCAGCTGCCAGCGAGGTTCCGGGCTCAGCTCCAGGGGGCCAGAGACAGCCCACGGCATTTCCAGCTAATTCCGGGGGTGAGGCTGAGTGGGGGCGGGGGCTAAAAAATCATCAGCAAGCCGCAGACACAAATGAGTTTCCAAATGACTGTCAGAACTTGATGCCAGCCTGAGCCAACGAGTGAGTTGCCGAAGGGCAGTGTGTGCCCAGAGTTTCATACCCACGTGAAGGGGTCGCCATGCCCCCTAGACGCAGTGACCTGGAGAACAAGCCAGTTTTCACCTCTGGGTTGATACCTACTCACCGCGCTTGTTTCTCCCTTTCTAGAACACGCTGGACCTGGAGGAGACTGGCGAGGCTGCCCAGGGCAGTGTCAACCCCCTCCCGGATGTCTCCCTGGTAAGACCCGCTCTCACCCTCTGCTGGGTTCTGCCCTTTGGGGCCAGCTTGGAGCCTGGGGCATGGGCAGAAGGACTGAGCCTCTGCTGGGAGCTCTCAGTCTGGCCACTCAGTCACCTTCTGCTTGCCCTGCTACGATATGGGTGCTGACTCTCCCAGCAGGTGCTGACACATGGTGCCAAGTGGGGGAGAACTGGGGAGGCAGAGGAAGATGCTGAATGTGGCTGCAGCAGTCACTGGGACGGCAGCACCTGGGTCCCGTGGACCCCCATAGCCAGGCTGCCTGGTTTCAGACCCTCCCTCTGACATGTACTGTGTGACTTTGGGCACACGACATAACCTCTCAGTGCCGTATTGTCTCTGTCCATGGCACGGGAGTGGATGGCCAGGGTGGCCTGCCTATGGTGAGTGCCAAGGGGTCACCGAGGGGCAGGGGCGTATGTAGAGCACGCAGAAGTGAGGCTGAGGGGCAGGCAGCGCTCTGTAGGTGTGGGGTGTTGCCATCGGCAGAGGACAGGTAGCAATCGCAGCCCTCGCCCTGCATCTGCTAATGGAATCCCTACATCACTCTGCTGGCTAGGTACAATTTTCCTATTACCCAGAAAGGTGGCGTGCCCTGTCTGGGGCCACACAGCAGCCCCACCTGCCTCTCTGCCGTGCCCCCCAGCAGGCAGAGTGACCCCTAAGCAGCGTGTCTTTGTGAGATGAGGCTGACCTTGGCAGCTGGGAAGGTTGGAGGGGAAGCTGGGGGGATGAGTCACGGACACGGATGGTGGTCAATTTGGAAAAGGAGAGGGAGGATCCCATGGCATCCATTGAAGGTCATCATCTACTCCTCCTCCCACCTCTAATTAAGGCATCCTCCCTGTGACAAGCCCTAGCTCATGCCAAGAACTTCAATTCCCAAAGGGAGTGATGCCTTCCCCCAGAGACCCTTGCCAAGATCCTGACGCTTATCAGCTGCTGAGATGCTGGTGAGCCGTTTTCCACTGGGGCATTGCATTATTCAGAGCGGCGCGGCCACGCGCAGATCACAGGAACCGAATTCCAGCCGGGCCTGGCTCCGCTCGGGCTCCAGGGGCCGCCCCGCGCCCAAGCCACCATGAGCTCTGACTCTTGCTACTCCTGTTGGGTCTCTTGGCAGGATGATGTCAAGTCCACCTCCAAGGGGCTGCTGACCTCCAAGCCACCACCTCCCTCGCCACCCCTGGCCCAAAGCCATGACCACTCGCTCGCCCAGCCAAGGAAGCCAGGGAGAGAGGACCTCCAGCCGCCCCCCTCCGAGCCATCCCACTTGGGCATCATCTTCTCCGCTCCGAGGAACCGGAGCCCACCAGCAGGCACCGTGCCCTCCCCGGGGGCTTCCTCCACACAGGACGCACCCTCCTCCCCCATCTATGCCTCCGTCTCCCCTGCCAACCCCGGCGCCAAGAGGCCACTGGACACCCACCTGGCTTTGGTCAACCAGCACCCCATCGGTCCCTTCCCCCGGGTCCAGTCGCCCCCGCACCCGAAAAGCCCTCCTGTAGAGGCCACAGCTCCTGGGGGCTGCCTTCCGCCGCCCTTGCCCTCCGGCCCCCCAGAGCAAACGGGCACACACCAGCACTTTGTCATGGTGGAGGTGCACCGCCCGGACAGCGAGCCGGACGTGAATGAAGTCAGAGCCCTGCCTCAGGCCAGAGGTGAGTGGGGGCCCAGAGGGCAATGAGCCCAGGCCCTGGGGTCCCGGGCTGTGTCATCATAGGCTGGTCCTAGCCCCTCTCTCATGGTCCCTCTTTGCCTGCGGAGGGGTCAAACCAAGGGCTCCCCAAGGGGCCTTCTGGCTCAGGGTCCCAGCAGCCAGGAGTCCGTTAAGGTGGGCCTGGAGGCAGAGCCGCAAATGTGAAAGATCCAGATGCTCCCAGCTGTGACTTGGCCACACACTGCTTCCCTCTTTGAGCTGAGTTTTGCCCTTGCTCCAGGGAATCTACCACATCTGCCCTGCAGCGGTGCTGGGAGGGTGGGGTTCCTGTACCGTGACTCCCCTGTAGCCACCCCAGCAACACTGGATTCCCAGTAGAGGTCCAACTGCGGAGATGGGGGGGTGGGGGGTGGGAGCTGATAGCATTGATGACTGTACAACCCCACTCCATGGGATCAAACAACAGAATTTTATGAGAATGGATATATTGGGGTGGGGGGGGTGGCGGGACAGAGTAAGTGTGTTTTGTTGGCTTCTGCTGCCATCTTGTGGGCAAAGCAATATGTGGGTCTCCCTGTGACGCCAGAAGGAGACCCAGCAGGTCTGCAGACGTTAGCTGAGGGCCTGCTCTGTGGCTGGGCAGCCAGCGGACTGAGATTCAGGCCAAGGCCAGGACGTCAGGCCCCTCCTGCACGCAGTAGCTCAGCAAGAGGAAGCAGGGAGTGGGACAGAGGCCCAGGGTGATCAAATCCCCACCACTGCCTGCCTCTCCACCAGGTCCTGCTCGGGGTACACACACACAAGGCCGAGCAAATAGCTGTGCAGCACCAACATTGCCAGCTGTCTGTGATGAGCTCCGTTAGTTCTCCAGCCACCGCCCTCGTGAGACTAGTTGACTGTTGACAAAGCCCTGGTGCTCTCCTTGCTTTTAAACAGCCCCGTGGAAGTGGCTGCGCTCTCGCAAACTTTGTTTGTCCATTGTTGGGTGAAGGTCTCCTGAGCGGCTCATGCACATTTGGTCTCTGTGCATGCATGGAAGCCCCTCCATGTACCGCCACGTACCCCACTGCCCCCTCTGCACTGGCTTTCCATACCCTGAGCTTTGTCTTGGGTAACACTGCCCTTTTCCATCTTACCTGGCTGATAAGCGTTACACAGGGTGGCGAGTTCTTTTCCAGACCTGAAGGGTGACAAAGGACCCTAGTCTTGAGGATTCTACCCGTCTCAGTCTGACACCTGCTGGGTCTCCATAGCGATGTTCCTCCCCTTGGTCCAGGCCCTTCTCGTGGGATTCTCGCAGGGCGGACACGGCCAGTTCTCCTGATCTCAGGGTTGTGGAGGCTGATGTTCACCTGGCTTGTTAGTCCACGGGACAGCCTCCGTCTGTCCTTAAATGTCACCACTCTTCTTTCCTTTGGGCGCGGAGAGACTGATACTTGTAGTTTAGATGGCTGCTGCTCATGAGCTGCTTTTTTTTAAAAAAACAAATGCTTTTAAATCATTTTATTGGGGGCTCTTACAGCTCTTATAACATTCCATACTCCAGTCATGTCAAGCATATTTGTACATATGCTGCCATCATCATTTCCAAAACATTTTCTACTTGAGTCCTTGGTATCAGCTCCTTTTTCTCCTCCATCCCCCACCCTCCCATCCTTGCAAATCCTTGATCAGTTTGCTCACGAGCTTTTAAGACCCCAGACACGTTCCCCCAAAGTAGCATGTAGAGCATTGGTGTTGTGGACTTCAACGTGTCCTTGTGCCCCCCCCCCCCAAGACTGTAGTCCTGATCCCCCAGGCCCAGTGACTCATTAGGTCTTAGGTTATATGGATGAAGTGTTCATAACTTTGTGCTACCGAGTGCTCCGTCATGTTCGGGGATATACTTGGGGGATTGGCAGTGTGAGCATCCCCATCTCACAGGTGGAAACACCGTGGCACAGGAAGTAGTTGTGCAGCCAAGGAGTCTGGCTCACATCTGTGCTCTTGACCGCATCACTCTGCCCCACATCTGTTATTCTTTAGGGCAGTCCCTTGGACAGCCGTTAATGGTCCTGGGTTAGAACGAGACCAGAGAGGCTGAGCACCATGCTGCTGACCAGGCCAATTTGCCCGACTCTGTCGTGTTCGTTCTCAACCTCGAGCCTCACACACAGGTGCACCAGAGAACCCACGGCCGCCCCTCGCTCAGGGGGCCTGCGTGGAACCAGGCCTGACTGTCTTTTTTAGTTTTTTGAGAACCTTAGACATTTCATGGTGATATAAAACCTAAATTGACTGTCTTGGCTGTGTTTTGAGCAACACCCCATGGGCCGGGTGTGATGTCTGACATCCGGCTCAATCACTGGGAGGAGGCGGAGGACTGGGCAGTCCGGGCAGAAGTCCCACAAGTGACCGGCTTCTGGCAGGCCTGATTGAGGGGGTGGGGTTTTAAGTGGGGAGGGGGATATCTCTGCCTGTGAACTGCTCACCTGCCCAGCCCTGTCGTCTAAACTTTAGCTCCGTCACTCCCTCCCTGAAGCCCTCCCGGACCCAGCGGCATGAACCATTGTTTTCCTCCAACCCCACTGCCCCAGCAGCCTCTACGCTCTCGCAGCTGTCTGACAGTGGGCAGACCCTGAGCGAAGACAGTGGTGTGGATGCTGGTGAGACGGAGGCCAGGGCGCCCGGTGGAGCCAGGCAGATGGCATCCACCAAGAGCAGGGGCAGCAAGGAGCCACCTGGGAACGAGAGGACCGCAGAGGGGGCTGCCAAGCCGGTAAGTGGGGAGGCTAGGGGGCCAGGCTTCAGCATGGCCTGACTCCCAGGGGAGGTACTAAGCCTCCATCCCTGGAGGGATGTGGGCCTTGGGAAGAACCCTGGATTAGGGGTCGGAAGGGCCAGTGTAAGTCCTAGCTCTGCCACTGACCCTGAGTGACAGGGCTGTGAGATTGGGGATGGACTTGGCTCAGGTCCCCTCCGTTCTCACGTGGCGTGGTGGCTGACAGTGTCTGGAGGTGGGCAGGCTGGGGTGGGAGCCCTGGAGCCATCACCAGACCAGCTCAGACAAGCCTCTCAGACCCCAAGCCTTCAGGGTTTGTCTTGTAGGGGTTACAGGGCCCAGCAGGAGAGCTAACTAAAAGCTTGGTGGCTCATATCACCACCACCCCACCCCGGAGGCTTTGAGAGAGTGGTCTGCTCCCACAGAGATCCCAGCACAACAAAGCCCCCCACAGGGCCGCCAGGGGTCAAAAGGGATGCCTCAGTCCCCAGCAGTGCCCACAGCACAGCGCTGAGGGCCTGCCACATCCTGGCACTCCCACACAGCTTGTTGGCTAAGCCCTGCCGGCCCCAGGGAGAGTGTCATGCCCAGCCCAGCCTCCCAGGCAGGCCTGTCCGTCAAGGCGGCCTCGTCCATGCCCTCCTGCTCACATCCACAGCCTGGCCTCCTTGATCCTACATCCACCCTGGTCCGTGTGAAGAAGAGTGCGGCCACCCTGGGCATCGCCATCGAGGGCGGCGCTAACACCCGCCAGCCCCTGCCAAGGATCGTCACGATTCAGGTGTGTCCCCACAGACCCTGCGAGCCCTGGGGACCACGCCCCGCACGCCCCAGAGGTGGTCCTGGGTTGCTCTCGCTGGGTCTGTTTTCCTAATCCAGGCAAGGGTGCAGATCATAGGCGGGGTTGGCCCTGTTCCCAGCCATCCACACGCCCCGCCCCTGCACGGTGTCTCCCCCTGCAGCGAGGCGGCTCGGCTCACAACTGTGGGCAGCTCAAGGTGGGCCACGTGATCCTGGAGGTGAACGGGCTGACGCTTCGTGGCAAGGAGCACCGGGAGGCTGCCCGCATCATTGCCGAGGCCTTCAAGACCAAGGAGCGAGACTCCATCGACTTCCTGGTCACCGAGTTCAACGTGATGCTCTAGGCCCCGGGGCCCCACGCCACTCCACCACTGCCTGGCCCCCGGCCCCGGCCCCTCTTCCCTCCCACACTCAGAGGGCCCAGGGCTGCGTGGCCTGAGTGGCAGGAAGACATTGTCCATCTCAAGGCCCATTGGACCCGAGCTGGGCAGCAGAGGTCTGGCCAGGCCCTGGTGTGTGCCGGTGCAGTAGGCACTCCGTACCCATGTGGACTATGAGAGGGGGATGTGGGGGTGGGCGAGGGGTGGGTGTCTGGATCTCAGCACCTCCGGTGGAGACCTGCCACAGCCTGGCCCATTCAGGTTGGACAGGGGGGTGTTTATAGGACACGGTCCACCACCCTCCTCTAGAGTGAGGTCGCAGTGAGATTGTGTGGACCCCATCCCCAGGCAAGAGTGGGGGGGGCAGCAGGACCTTTAGTGCCACAAATAAGTATCAAGCACCTTCCCCTTCACACCCCGCCCCCGGCTCTGGTATCAATACTCCGTGATATTTATTATTTATTTCCTGCTCACCCCCCACCCCCCGCCAAGCGCTCCAGAGCGCCAGCTTCCCCTAACCCCTCCACCCATCCCAGAGGCCTTGCAGGTGACCAGCAACGTCAGTGTATTTATATACAGAGCTTACAACTTTAATTTTTCAATAAAGAAACCTGAACAAGGTTAGGAGCCAGTGTGCTGTGTGCAGGGGGGTCTGGGGCTGTGGAGGTGCTGGGGTGGGGGCGCAGATGGAGGTACTCTCAACGTCACACACCAGACCCCACTCAGTGTGCAAGGACATGAATCTTGCCCGCATCTCAGAGCACCTTCCCTGCAGGTCTGAGGGCAAAACATAAGTATGAGCAGCGAATACCTTCACAGTATGTGATGGGCGTCAGATGGTAGAAAGTTCCAGGATGTTTGAAAAACACAGGGAAGTGTCTGTTTTGGTAGGTCTCCCAGGGCTCACTTAAGGGAGTGGGGGCAGAACAGGGCAGAGGAGGAAGCCCAGGTACAGGCCTGCAGAGGGAGCTTTAGACTGGCGTGAGGGGCCACTGGGGTGCTGTCTGCTTAAGGCCAGGGGTTCGGGTTGGGCTTTCATTCACCTGCCAGCCTTTAGACAAGGCCTTAGGACCAGGAGTCATACATATCTCAGCATTCCCTGTACAGACAAAGCAGTTCCTTCCCATTGCCAGGCACTGCCCTTGGGAGAAGGGTGCAGAGCAGTGGTTCTCCATCTTCCTCGTGCCTTGACCCTTTAATACAGTTCCTCATGTTGTGGTGAACCCCCAACCACAAAATTATTTTTGTTGCTACTTCATAACTCATTTTGCTACTGTGATGAATCAGGCGAACCCTGGGGGGTCGTGACCCACAGGCTGAGAACCACTGGTGTAGAGGGTCTGAAGCAAAGGCACATAGTGGTGGGCAGGGCAGGTTGTGGCAGAAAGCAGCCACTGTGTGGCCCCAGTGCCAGGCCCAATGCCTCTCTTCCCTGGCCTAAGCAAACAGGGCCATGGATTCCTCTGAACCTCTAAGGCAGCTGGTCTCCCCAAAGACTCCAGCCCCTCCCAGGAGATCTCTATACTCTCATCTCGTCCCTTAGTCGCCTTCCTGGCTTCAAGAGGTGTTTGTCAGGGCCTCAGACCTCTGAGATCAGACTCTAGTTCAATTGCTGTGTGGTCCTAGACAAGTGTTTGCACCTCTCTGAGCCTCAAGTTCCTCATCTGCAAAATGAGGATATTGCTAATTAATTTTAACTGCGGTTAAGATGGCAGGTGAGGGTTTGTCCCCATAGCCCTCGAATGCCTAGGCTAACCATCTTTACTTGTTCCTTTTCATTTTTGATGACTTGCTAGTTTCCCCGGATTCCTTTGTATAGCCACGTTCCAATTACTATTTGCCATTTGCAGCTGTTTGTTTGTTGTTTCTAATTTTGAGTCATGTCCCAATGAGCAAACGAAGGTCCTGAAAGCGTTACTCCACCCAGGTTGTTTGGAAAGATGACTCTCCCTGCGCCATCCAGGTTGGCTGTCTGTTGAGGGGGCAGCTCTTCCTCGGTCCTATTTGGAATGCCTTCCAACCACCGAGGCTCCACTGAGCCGCTGCACCAGGCAGTGTTCTGTTGCTCTTCAGTGTTCTCAGTGGCGAATCCCTGAGAAGTAGCCTTTCCCACCCTTCTTCCTGTCTGGAAGCACCATAGTCGCGTCGCCAATCCTCTATAGGATCACTACTGCTATTTGAAATGCCAGCGATACAGCTTCCAGCTTCAGGACATCATTAAAGCCATCACAGAGCAACATGACTGACGAGTGGCTCTTCAAATGAGTTCTATTTCTATACTGTGAGCCTGGCTAATTTTTAATTTATTTACTCCCCTAGCAATCCCATGGAGACCAGGGGGCGTCGTGGTTATGTGTTGGGTGGGTAACTGCAAGATCAGTGGTTCGAAACCATCCTCCTCTCTGAGGGAGAAAGATGCGGTTTCTTACCAGTATAGAGTGACCATCTCTGAAACTCAGCGGGCAATTGTACCTGCCCTCTCAGTCATCCATGGCAGGGAGTTGGGTTTGAGAGCAAGCCTAATAGGTGGGGCTGTTGGCTCCCATTTTCCTGAAATTCAGTGGCACCAAATGGCCAAAGTGCCAAGGGTCCAGGATAGACACCCTAAGCTGCCTTTCTTCTTCGACTGCTGTCAGATCTCCACCAAAAGGAGCAGCAGGTCAATCTTCAATACAACCAGTGTTCTTCAGAAACCTGGCTGGCAAGACTCCCTCCTGCTTTCCACGAAAGGGAAGACCACTCTTTAGAGAAGGGCGTTGTAATTGGTGAAACACACTGAAACGTGGGGAGCCCTCGAATGGTGCATGGACGTCATAACCACAAGAGATTCAAACCTGTATGACCGTGAAGCTGGCTTCAGTGACTCATCAAGTCTGGGCGGTGGCGTCACTAGGAACAATGGTTGGTCCTCTTTTGCCCCAGGGCTTTCCTGCTTGTCTAACGGGGTTTGGACTAGAACAAGCTTCCCACCCTCTTAGGAAAGGGCCTGGTGGCACAACACTGAAGTGCTGGCTCTGAGCGGGCAGGACCCCACTCGGCGCCCCCTGCCCATCTCAGCCTAGACAATCAGATGAGGCAGGCAGCTCTACTGCCTGACACTGAGTCGCTTTGAGTCAGTCTTGTGCCACACGGAGCAGCAGCGACATCAGACTGTAAGAGTTTGCAACAGTGCCTGACACTTTGTGCTCAAGAAAAGTTTATTATTACTGTAAGTAAGCAGTTCGCTCAGGCTATACAATGGTGCTATTTCTCCCTCTCGGTGGCTCTGGGCCTTCTTGCACAAACGCCTTACCCTCCTGACCTTGTCTGCAGTCTCGTGGGTGCAGGTTCCGGGACGCATCCGCCCCGTTTGGGGATTTTCAATCTTGGCGTTTGGGAGCCCGCTGCCCCGATTTAGAGTCCCTGGGGGCGGGCCGGAGGCGGTTTCTTCGCTGCGATTGGTGGATCTGACTAAGGCCCCGCCTCCCCGAGCAGCCCAGCATCAACCACAACCGGGTCTGGAGGATTAGGCAAAAAGACTGCCGCCCCGCCCCGCGCCCCGATTGGAGGCCTTTGTTTGCCCATCAACTCCAGGAAACCACCCGCGCGCCGCGGCCGCCAGCAGGTGAGGCGTGGGGAGGGGCTGGCGGTGGGCTCTGGCCGAGTTCTGGTCCCTTGACCGAGCTGGGTTTCTGCGTCCGGGCAAAGGGAAGCAGAGTAGACGGAATGGATGGGCTCTGTTCTGCTGGGACGGCAGCGTTCTCGGTCTCCCCCACGTGGAATCCCCGCGCGCCCGCGAAGGGCACGGGTCGCTATGCCAGGAATGGGTGGGAGCCGTGGGCGCGCGATCGAATCCTAACCCAGATCGCATGGACGCTGCGCACTCCGGTCTCAGTCTGCATCTCCGTGCAATGGGGACACTGGCCTTTTCTCTTTCTAGCCCGAGTTGGTCGCTGGGTGGGGAGGGGTCCCCCGGGAGTCCGGGGGTGGTCCTTGGCGGGGCCTCTGGTTGTGTTTGGGCCGAAGGCGTGGCTGAGTTGCTGTGGTTACCAAGGGAGGTGGGGCTCCCTCCAGGATTTGCGTGAGGTTGGCTCACCAGGCAACAGCCCTAGCAGCGTAGAGGCTCGGAGCCTAGCGCCTTCCCCACGACTCCAAAAGCAAGTTTCTCTTCCTCTTTTTGGCAGGGGAAGGGTGGATAGAGCGAGGGCCAGCGTGGGGGTGGGCAATTCGGGTTCTAGAATTAGTCAATCTCTTCTTGGTATTTAGATGGGGAGACAAACTCAGAGAGGGGGCGCACAGCAGGGCCACGGGCTCGGAGCTTGCCTCTCCCCAGGGTGATGGGACTGGCACTGGCAGAATGTAAACCTGTTTGCTTTGCGACCTTGAACGAAATTCATCTCCACTCCTTTCCTCCGCGTTTGTTCAAAGAGCTGACAGGGTGGAGACGGTCATTTCCTATGCTTAAAAACTGTGTTTCTGAGTGAGAACGTTGGAAAGGAAAGTTGTTGATAACATGCCCGGGGTATTTGGAACTGAGAAGAAAGGTTGAGACAGTCTATGCTGAAAAGAGACATTGTTCCTGCCCTCTAGGACAGAAGAGATGGGTTGCAATTGAACCAGGAAGGACTGAGGTTAGATACTTACCAGAACTTCCTAGATTTCACCCCCTCTGGAGTTGGTGGGTTTTCTTTTTAAGCTGTTTCGTTTTCCTTGGCAGGAAAGCAGAAAGCTGCCCACCTGTATAGGGGGGCCCTACGTCTGGCTTAACTTACAAGATGAACACGGGACCCATACTATTTGGGAAAACTCTATGTGGCTTGTTGCCAGGCCAGCCAATGTGGCACCATGCCTCTCAGAGTCCAGCCGGTTTGCATTTGAGACATGTGATGTGGGCTATTTCTTGCGAGGGGATTTCATCAGCTCCCACGACTCCCATGGTCTGAACACTCCACTGGAGGCGCCAGAGTTAGGGCTCTTGTAGAAACTAGGACCCCCTCCAGCACTGTAGGGGCCCCTGCTGATACGGTATGTTTGGAAGCTGATGCCGCCTTGAACATTCTGATTTACCCCCACTGGAGGGGCGGCAGGGAGAGTATTTCCTATGTGTTCGCATCATCCGCTAAATGCCGGACCCTTTTTGTGCTTCCTCAGTGGGAAGGAGCCGGGTGTGGGGAATCAGAAGACCTGGGTTCTTGCCA